AAATTCTGATTTATCGGGTTGGACTTTCAGATTCGCTTCCTGTAGTATTTTTAAAATGGTTTCTAAATTTTGCATAGCCGCTTCCAATGATTTTCCGAAAACAACGACATCGTCCATGTACACATAACAGATTTTGCCTATGTGTTCACGTAATACGTCGTCCATTGCCCTTTGGAAAATTTCTGGAGCGTTTTTTAAACCAAATGGCATACGAACAAACTCGTATTTGCCATGGTTTACCGAAAATGCTGTTTTTTCGATGTCTCTGGGATTCATCTTTATTTGATGGAACCCAGAGGCTAGATCCAGGGTAGTAAAATAACGATTTCCACCGAGTTGATAAAGTATGTTCGAGATTTCAGGCATCGGATACTTGTCTGAAATTGTTTTTTGGTTTAATTTCCGATAATCTATGACGAGCCGAAATTTCTTCTTACCTGACGCATCCATCTTCTTTGGAACAATCCAAACTGGTGAGTTCCAAGGAGATCTAGATGGTCGAATGATTCCGTCATCTAATAATTTTGAAATTTGTGCATTAACTTCTTCCTTATATGCGACAGGATAAGGATAGGATTTTTGGTAAATAGGAATATCATCTTCTGTACGTATATGACATTCCACATTTGTAGTACATGATAATCGATTATCAGGGTTGTGAAAGACTTGTTTTATTGAATTTAAAACTGGGAGTAACGCACTTTGTTCTTCTTTGGAGAGGTGTAAGGTTCTAATATTTGAAGTTAGGTTCACTTGGTTTATTTTACGTGGATTAGGGGAGGGAAAATAAAAATGTAAGGGAATGTTGAGAGTTGTGTCATTGCCAAACACTTGTAGGGTCGATGAACCAGAAATGAGATTAAAATCTTTTCCGAAAATTAATTCGGTTCCGATCAAACCATCGAAAAAGGTATGAAAGTCAAAAACCAAAAATTCTGATGGTTCACATCTTACGGGTTCAAATAACGAAAGATGTACCATTTCCGAGATAACGCTTTTCCCAGTTACTCCTTTAACAGGTTCATCTGGTATTTTTAAAATAGGTTTACCAGAGTGGTACGCCCAGTGTTTAGAAATTAAATTTACATTTGCGCCACAGTCGATAAGCAGTTTCATTTCACCCTTTGTCGTAGGGACTTTGATGTACGGAAGGGGAGAGATTTTGGCTTTCAATCGAACCATTTGCTCACCCATTCGGTATCGTTCTCTAAAAAATTTACGTTTGTCTCATTTTCCTCATCTTGGAGTCCTGCTTTTTTTTTTTTTTTTTTTTTTTTTCCTTTGGTTTGTTTTTTTCCGTCGATCTTGTTTTCCGTGCTGAGCACCAATGCTACCGACGTGCCAGGAAGGCAGCTCCCACACCTGGACCCTACCTATCGACCCATCAACTCATGAACCGGGGACCAACGGCTTTACTTCCCATCCGAAGGAAGGCGTGATCAGAGATGTTATGCCTCAGAACATCCCGGCGGCGCCGACTGGGATTGAACCCAGGCCTCCTGGGGTGAGAGGTAATCACGCTTACAACTACACCACCGGCGCCGTTTCTTGGAGTCCTGCTAATTCTTGCAGTTCGAAAGTTTCTATTTCTTCAGCAAAATTCAAATTTACTTCATCAGGTTCATCGTAATCCTCTCTTGAAATATCTTCGAGTTGATGGGCAACTCGTTTTGTAGGTGGATTATTAGCCTGCATAGACTCGGATGTTGGTCTTGCAGTTTTGAAGTTTGGTCGATTGCCGTAATTTAGCATGCGGGATTGAATTGATTTATCTATGTCCATTGGCTCAGGTTTAGGTTGCTGTTGGTAGAAGGTCCTATTTGGGGCAAAAACATTTGTATTTTGCGGTCGGAATGGAGGTTGATGTTGAGTTTGGAAGGAATATGGTTGTTTGTTATGGGAATGTGTTTGGAAAGGAGTTTGATGGTTGGTTTGGACAGGATATGGTTGCCTAAAGTTTACTGGTGGAGGTTGGTAATGGTTTCTAGGTGGAGGTGGTGGAGCATTTGGATGGTATCTATTTGTTGGAACTGGTCTGGGTGGTGGAACTGGAATGTTACCACGAGGAGCTGGGATTGGTTCCAAAGGATTAGATTTGAAGGGAGCACTACGAGCATTTAGATTCAAAAATTCTACGCAGTAGTGGTAGGCTGACGCTAGTGATTTTGGTTTGTAATTTTTGCAGAATAATGACAGAGGTTCACCTAAACCTCGGATGAACATCATGTTATAAAGCTTGATTAGGGCTGCCTCATGCCCTTTCCAAGTTTCGTCTGTAGAGATTGCTGAGCTGATCAATGTTATCATCTCGCGCACTCTACTGTAGTACGTTTCAATGGTTTCTTGCTGGTTTAACTGGTTGTCAAGCGTCATCAGATCGCGTTTGTCAGCGTAGTATAGTCTTAAAACATCTTTTATCTCACTCCAATCGTTTGGAGTGTTATTTGAAATGAGGATATCGTTTGCTTCGTTTTTTATTTTTCGTCTTACGGTCTTCATCACGAGATGGTACTCGTAACTATCCCGAAAGTCATTGAATAATTCAAGGCAATCTTCAACGTCGAGGATCCATGTAGAAAGATCTCGTGCGTTGCCATTAAAATCGGGCAAATCTTTAATGATACTAGGAATTTTACCTCTGTCGAGGAACCCTACGTTTACGTCAATCGCATATCGTGGAGCTGGACGCGGTACGTTTGGAATGGGAACGGGATTTGGAACAACTAATCGTGCGGGTTGTAGGATTGGATTTAGGTTAGCTGGATTTGCCATTTTTTTTGGAAAAATTAAGATAACACTGCTAATTTCACTTCACACTTCAAAAGTGAGTGATTTTTTATTGATTTTTTTGTTTTGAGTTAGTAGCGCGCCTATCTGTGATATTCTAGCGGGTCACTTACGGGTGGTCCGGGTTCGCCGCTGTGTTATTAGTATTCGATTTCGCGTTTTTATGGTTTTGAATTTAGATGGTTAAAGTTTGGAAAATTGTTATGTTAGTTTGCGGTATTTTTTTGTGATATTTCAGGGGCTTGGATACTGTGGGTCAGTCCGCCTCCCTCTGAATTAGTATGCGATTTTTTTTTTACGCACTAGCAGCTTACGGTGCGGTTTTGGCTTAAAACTATTTCTTTCTGTGTTAAATTGATACTCACAGTAGCAGCAGGAGCAGGGTTTTCATTTCCTGTCGGTGGCAGCGATAAACTCCAATAACCACTGGTACGGGTAGCGGGTGTTCTTTTCCAGTGTACCTATTCGCCGATTCCAAAGACGCAAGTCGCTGATTTGACAGCAAGTGGAGTTAGATCCGGTCGTTTGACTCCTCAAAGGTGGCTCAGGGCAGCTTCGTGATTAGACACTTATACAATTACTGGATAAAACGTTCCCGACTTCGGGCGCCAGTTAAGACCTGGAGGGTCTTTTCGAATTTTTAAAAAAGGACGCGAACTCGTTGACGGTCGAAACAGAAGTGAAGTATGATTTTATTTCAATTATGAGTTAAGTACAAAATGCAAACTAAGCAGCGGCTACTCGTTGACAACAGCTTGAATTCCTCACGGGTTGAATGCCTCGATGTGGTGCAGCGTCAGCGTATCGCAGGTGCTCGGTTGTCCGGTGTGCTATATTGATGATTTGGTGGATCGGGTGTTAACTTGAATAAAAGTTGAAATTGAGCGAAGGGCCATTAATGTGACAGTACTAGTCATACGCACACTCCTTTACCAAGCTTATACAATAATGGATGAGGAGACTTGAGGTTTTTCCTCAAATCCACTGGCATAAAAGTGAACGTTTGACTTGCTCATGTACTGTCTGCGGCTGTGGAATAGTTCTAACGACGTTTTATAATTACCTAAAACCCCACGTTATTGAAAGCATTTCCAGACGATGCACAGTGGGGGAAAATCGACTCAAAATCCCACTTAATTAGATGGCGCACGGTAGTGTGGTGTTTACCATTCTTAACACTATAAGCTACAGTGGTAGCGCTCGAAGAATAATGATTGTTTACAAACTCTATTCAAAAGCCCGTACTGGCTTAGGCTATTATGAATAAACACTGCGAGCTGCACTCGTCCCCTTTACTGCACAATAACCAAATAAGTGTTTCGTTGTTTTACTCCAGAAATCTAACTAAACACAATACTTTCTTGGATCATTATAGACACTTAGTTACAATATATAAAAGGTAGGAGTCCTGCTAAAATAGCCTTCTTATGGTGACAGTCCCGTTAATTGTTGACCTCGGGAAGTGGTCCGTTTTGCCCGATATACCCCTAATTTTGGAAAAAAAATATAATTATCATCAAGAAACTGAAGTTGCGTTCAGTTACTCAGCTTGGAGCGTTCTTTTATGGAACGCTTCACATTGATGGTACGCTTACAAAAAGCATGTACGCGGGGCAGTTCTGCAAAGCATGAAGAGTGTGAAAATCCGCCGAAATTAATTATGGGCAAATCACCCACGACACTGCTAATAAATATTCAACTTACCCGTGTAGCAGCTTGAATCCAAAATGACTTTTCACCAACTGGCAGGAAATGTGTATGAATAGTCATGACCTACCTAGTTATTATCCATCTCATATCATCCCTCTCCTTCGGTATAAAAGTTATACAAGTTTTTTTTAACAATAATTAATGATAATGAATTACTGATTGCTGTCAGTTTTAATTTTACTAACATCATGGTGCCACCCACCTTTCTATTGGCATAATGTTAATAAAAAAAAAGAAAAAATGTATGGAGAGTTGATTTTATTCCAATATTTTTTTCAGCGTGATCAGGGAAAACAATATTTTGTAGTTGAGTTCCGCATTGATTTTCTGAACCACCAGTGTCAATTTTTACATTAAAACCAGTTTTTCCCATGTTTTCATATAAACAAAAACAAATAGCCGTATCTTTTTCTTTATCTTGTATTAATCAACTGGTGATTTTCACAGTAGCCTGGAATCAGATCACAGTATCTGCTGTTCAACTCGGACATTTTCTGCAGCAAAGCCTCAACGCGATCATTGTTGGACATGCGATTCTACTGTTCGTCTGCCTGTTGCTGTTTAACTAGTTCCTCAATGCGAGCTTCGTACATCTCGACAAGCCGCTGCTTATCTGCATCAATGTCATCGTCGCTTCCGCAAGCACGATCCTGCGTGTGTACGTACGAATCCTTGGAATGGATCGACGAGGTCGTAATGTCCTCGAAATGTCCTGAATCGGCAAACGAGCTCTGCATCTCCGAGGTGGACATCTTGTCCATGAACTGTACCTGGTGGATGCCATGATTGTGCAGATGATGCCGGGGACTGGCTTTGCTACACTCGTTTGTTTGATTCACAATCGGTGAAATTTCCTGAGAACTGGGCGTGTTTGCATCTTTGGTGGTGTTTTCCCGCACCGTTACGGTGTCACTGGAGATTGATCGTTCCTCCGGGTAGCTGAGCGATGCCTCGAAGAACCGCAGCTCAACAACCTCTTTGGTAAGTCTTAAATAGAATTTCAGTATCACGTTGCTCCAGGTCTATGCGATCCTACGAGAGCAGCTTGTTCAGTCGTCTGATCTGGCGCTGAGTCCGCTGGGTCGGGGTAAGGTAGTCCTCACCCGTCTGGCGGCATGGCTCGAGCAATGAACTAAGTAATTCATCTTACGGTCACTGAACGTGGTGCCATTGCGGGCCATGTACGGATGGTCAAGTTCTCTCCTGCGGCTTTGCCATGGCGAGGAGACGATTTTTGCAAATCCGTCCTCACTCGCATTCAGAACGGCCGTCCCGGTCGCGTTCTTATCCTGTGGCAGTGCCACCACGAGGAGACGATTTTTTTGCAAATCCGTCATCACTCGTTTCTCAGAACGGCCATCTCGATCGCGTTCACATTTCTAATATTTCTTGCAAGTGGGTGATTTGCCCTTTATTACCTATCGGAGGTCTCCAAGTTTCCAGGTTCGTCTCCTGGCAGGATCGCCAGAAATGTGAAAATCCGCCGATATTAATTATGGGCAAATCACCCACGAGGCCGCTAATAAATATTCAACTTACCCGTGCAGCAGCTTGAATCCAAAATGAGCTTTCACCAACTGTCAGGAAATATGTATGAAAAGTCATGACCTACCTAGTTATTATCCATCTCATAAAGAGGTTCTTTGCCACAGAAAGCACATTTAGTTGCTTCCTGTTGGCAAGCACCTTCCATGTGGTTTTGGCTGCATTTGCCACCACGGGGCTTGTTGTCATAAAAAGCAGCTGTGTGTCCCAACTTTTTGCAGTTGGTACAATTATATACCCTTGGTACAAAAAGTCGCACCGGGAAAAAAACCTTTTCAATTTCTAAAAACTTTGGGAGAACCGATCCAGCGGAAGACACCTGTAGTGAGTCTGAAGGGGAATAAGTCTTTTCACCATCTACCGTGGTCGCTGAATACAATATCCTGCAACCCAGAACGTCCACGCTAGATGTAGCAGCATTTTGAAGGCGCCCCATACCTTCCATGACGTCATCACACGTCAGGCTTACTGCAGAGACCACGCCGTCTATCTCCACATCTCGAGATGGGATGTAAAAGTCGTTAGCAGAAATCATTACCTTGCTCGGCTTGGTCGCGTTAATATGTACTCTCAACTCCCAAGCCTTTGTTTACAATTGATAGTGCCCAGAGAAACGAAAAGAAAAAACTACAAGGGACAGCCCTATGGGGTTGTACGCATTGGTGACGTAGGACTACGTGGTCTTATATAATAAATGGTAATGTGTATCTTTTTTGGAGCCAGGTTTTAATCTGAACCATATTTTAATTATTTTCCTTACCTCATTTTTATATTTTGATTTTCCGTTCTATTTACTATCGTACAGATTTGTCGTACAAGCAGAAGCAATACTTTTGTGCGCTGAATCTAACGAAATTATTGCTTGGAGCCAATGCCCATGATTGTGCTGCGTAATTTCAACATGGACAACATGAACGAAGGGAACTTGAAGTTCGTCGATTTCATGAAGAAATATTTGCACCTGGAAATGGATCGTGAGTGGACTTAATTTTCGTTCACAACGTCCGCCTTGACAGTAAAAAGTATAACTCTTACACGTTAAACCATCGCCCAGTTTTGTCACCTTTCGAGTTCTAGACTCTTAACTCAGAGCGTTTATCATCGTTGCCATCTGCCAATTTTCTGACTATTTGAATTTCTATCTTCTCAATGCAATAAGGCAGTTCTGTGTCAACCATATAAGATCACTATAAATACTTCTTTGTACGGCTACGCTGGACACGGGTTGACCCGGTGGTTGGAAAGGCAACGCTAGCCTTCATCGCTACGAGAAATGGGCACTCAGAGAGCCCAGTTGCTTCAAGGTAAGGTGATTAGAAGCTTGGTTTTTGATTAGTAGAATTCCTAAACAATCTCTTTTGAAATTAGTTGGTGGCCATGAACAGGGCCGTTTCGGATAGGGAAAATGAACGAAGCTTAACCTCAGATGCGTCCCAGACGCTTCAAGTAACAGCGCCACGAATGAAGTTTTCCAGCAACACCTTACCTTGAGCACACTCGGGTTTTAGATCAGACCAGTACGTAATTGGTGGATTTGTTAGTTAATTTGACGCTTTTGGACAATGCTGGACATTTACTACCCCTTTTTCAATAGTTTCTTATTGAAAATAAACATTCCAAAGCATTGTTATCGATGCGTAGCCATATTTCTGATCGATTGGTGATAAAATTATTGAAATTGGACCAGGGGCAGCTGAGTTATTAACGTTCAAAATCTTTCACAATTTTGTTTCATGTTTTATTTTCGGTTTTCACAAAGTTTACCCCCATAAAGAAATCACCTGTCAGAACCTGTCCAGAACAGGGCTGCCAGGTATGTTTAAAAAAAAAAATCTACAACGAGATAAAGGAATTTTCTTCACCAGAACTTTTCAAGTTAACGACCAATCATTATTTCTGCTTTATAAAATTCAGAAGCGACGTTGAGGGACCATTTGTTGATTTCAGGGAACTTCGTAGAATTTTAGAGGGCTTCATACCAGTTGTCGACGCAGCAGCCGTGGAGTTGGCTGCACTGCCGACCGATCGTAACGGGAGCACCCATTGTTACGGGCGACCTTCAACATACATGTCAAACGGACTAAACGACGCTTGGGTTCCGGCATTCAACATAATTTTCAATTATTCTATTTTTTCGAAGAGAATTGAGCCTGTGTATTGTACTAACAGTGAATAGGTTGAGAAATAATTAAAATTTATTAGTTTTACGTTTACGGATTGGTCTGAAGTGTAGAGTGAGGTGTAGATTGTTTCGCAAGGTAATAGTAGTTTGTAAATACATAGGAAATTTCAAAGTCATACAGAGTTCCATCTGTTGCCAGTTAGTTATTGGTTATTGGTGAATTATATTTAATAAATTCTGGTCCAATTCCAGCTTTGAAGCGCTACTAAAATTACGCTCTCGAAACTCAGTCGGCCGTTCTATTTCATTCAACACCAGTCCAGGGAAAGTTGTAGAGCTTCAAGATTAGTAGATCTTCTAGAATCTTCGTAGAACTTCAGGGAACTGCGTAGAAGTTCAGATAATTTTGTTGAAACTTAGCAAACTTTGTAGAAGTTCGTTTAATTTGTAGCTTTAGTCAACATAAACAACGAAATTAGTCACAACGTTGCGTACAACACTGCTGATTTATGCGAAATCGCGCTTAAATGTACGTGAAAAATCATATACATTTACGCTTATGAATGTGTGTGCTATATATCGCAGAAATTTGAATGTATTTTTCAAACGGCCTTAATTTTTTTTTGGAATTTGGGGATCGTCGTTGAAATTCAGGAAACTTTGTAGAAATTCTGCGAACTTCCTTAAGCTTCGCATAAATTCAGGGAAGTCTGGAAAAACAAATAAACCAGGAGATTTCGTAGATGTGTGAGCCTTGCACAAGCTTAGGGAACTTCGTAGAAGTTAAGTTGATACTTTAAGAAATCCTGAAACTTCAGCAGAAACTGATATTTGTGCTTTTGAAATTTCACACTAAGGCATCCTTAGAGTTTCACATTAGAGGAAACCTCATACAAGTTTGAGGATCTTCTTTTTATTTCAGGGCACTTCGTTAAAATTTGACGGACTTGAATTAGTTCATTGTTCAGGAAACTTCGTAAAACTTTGCAGAAATTCAACGAGAAAAGTAGAACCGAAGTGACCTTTGTAAAAACTCAGCAAGCTTCGTAGAAGTTCATGGAATTTCGTGCACTCAAAAAATAAATGACATTTTCAATGGAAAATAAATATATGAATTTCACATAACTTTCATGTGATCACATTATTGGAAATTGCACCAAAAAATCACGTGAACCTTATATGTGTCGAATGAAATCCATATGACTCTACATAGACAAAATGACACCGGATTTTTCCACTGTGCCAAAAACGAATCATTAGGTTAAAAAGTCACATTACGCTGCTGTATTTGAGCGAAACCAACGAGAAATGAAAAATGGCGATTGAGTTGTGCACATTGAAATCATTCATACATGATTCATGAGACCATCAAGTTGTCCAACTGAGAGCTGAAATCTACATCCGTTCGGAGATGACTTTTGGGTAGGCGCGGACCACCCGCAGAGGTTGTTCGCATAAGCTTCGGTTGCCAGCATCAATCAACTCGTCCGTCGTCGGGTAATTACTCGTCCAGCCCTAGCAGGAACTCAAAGGATAAAATGAAGATTTATGAAAGTCATTGCCTTTTCTTTCGTCGGGAACCGTCAGCCGAGTTGATTGACTGAAACCCTTTTACTCGTCTTTAACGGTCTTCGGAGGTCAGCAGCGTGGATGGATTATAGCGCTTAATTAGGGGCGCTATTTTTCATTTGCAATGGGGAGAAAATTTTCCGTCCGTCATTCGCGTAGCCGACGAGGAATAGGACAGATGACCCATAAGCCAAATATTTCAATTATCGTTCCGCGAATGCACTGATATTGTTTCGCTTCGGCCCGGTTGAATTAATTTGTGGCTTTGATGTTTATGCTATGCGAGCCTGCGTGTTTATCGAAGACTGTGACTCGTACCGACTCTAATCAAAAGCCAAATTGAATCGCTGCTAAGTGACGCAATTAATTAGAATAGATGCTAATGAATGTTGCAATAATTGAAAATAAAATATTTGAAATTAGTTAGCTATTATGCGATATGTGCCCTCACATACCCGTGAGGTGTGTGGCAATTTTGAAAAAGCTTATTTAGTCGCATCATCAGCATGGATGGCAAAATATAGAACACATTTGTGTCATTTTTATTAGACCCAATGACATCGATACCCGGTTCGGATCGGTTCGGCACTATTTCGAGCAGAATGTCCGTCAATCGAGTTTCAATAATTGGATTTGTGTTGGCTTCATTGTGCTGGCCGGTCCGGAATCGAAAGTGCAAACAAAACTGCGCTATCATCATCAGCCCTTGCCGCTCAAGCTCCAAATCATTCAGCACTTTTTAACTTTGCCCAATCGTGGAAATCGATAGCCAATAGGGGGTAAAAAATGAAGACATCGCCTGTCTGCCACGCCACTTGGCGATAGGTTCGAAGGAACTTTCCACTTCTCCTCGAGAGCTCCTCTTCCTCCTTCTACGCGCTAAACCCAAGCAGCGCAGTGTGGATCCAAGGCTAAGCCGGAAAAATGAAGACGTT